TCAGGGCTTCTTTGGCAGAATATCTATTTAATTTGAGTAAAGTCACGCTTTCTACTCTTCTTTTTCCAAACCACACGGACACAAGTAAGGTCTATTGGTCACAAAGGATGTCTTTGTAACAAAGCCTAGGATTGCCATCTTGAAGAAACAAAGGCACTTGGTCAACCAGAAGACCTGGCCATTTCCGCCCCTCCCCCATCCCTACCCCGGCTAAAAGGTGTCCCACAAAACCCCAGAAGCACCCCAAAAAGTCTGGAGAGTCGGAGGAGCAGTTGAAAAGCCTTTAAAATCTTTGCATTGACTGCTTGCAGCTCAAATGCTGATTATCCTTACCCCAATAACATTATTTGGCTGAGTTTCACAGTTGTACATAGATAGGAAAGGTGACGTGACAGAATAACAGAATTAGAAGGGACCTTGGAGGTCTTCTAGTCCAACCCCTGCTTGAGCAGGAGACTCTATCTCATTCCAAACAAACAATTATCCCGTCTCTTCTTGAAAACACCCAGAATTGGAGCACCCGCAACTTCTGGAGACAGGTTGTTCCACTGGTTAATTGTTCTATCAGGAAATTTCTCCCTGGTTCTAGGTTACTTCTCTCCTTGATTAATTTCTTCTTGTCTTCTTGTCTTGCCTTCAGGTGCTTTAAAAACTACGTTGACCCCCCCCCCGCCCCCTTCTTTGTGGCAGCCCCTCAAATATTGGAAGACCGCTATCATGTCACCCCTGGTCCTTCTTTTCATTTAACTCGTCCCACATTAAATTTGTCCTGCCTTGCTACACCGCCTTCTTTTGCTCAGCTTTCAGAAATCCTCACTGTGGTGAATAACTGAGTTGGAAGGGACCCTGGAGGTCTTCTAGACTAACCCCCTGCTCAAACGGGAAGCCCCATATCATTTCACACCAACGTTCGTGCGGTTATTCTACTTAAAAGCGAGGCGCGCCAGGTAAGCAGCTCTGGCAGTTGAGGCTCCTATAACACACATTGGGGGGAAAAAAAACCCATGTTCCATCCTCACAGCAACCGTCGTAGTTGCAATTCTCTCGCCGCGGGGCCTCCATCACGTTCCCCCAAAGGCAAACACCACATCAGGGGGACCCACGGCTTCCTTTCGGCCAAGGGCTTGTCAGTAACCCGAGTTAAACCTTAAGAGGGCAAACCACGGAGAATGCGACCGATTCCCTCGGGCGTTCCACACATACTTGGCCCTTCCTTCCAGTGACAGCTCCCTTGGCCAAGCCCTCTGTAAAAATCTGAATTGTTTACACCCTTATCCTGAAAACACACAAAAGGAGAAGGCACACTCAGAGGAATTTTGGGGTTAGGTAGCTGTTTGATTCCAGGTGTTGACCCCAAGGTTAAAACGAAATATGGGACGAAGGGACTTACCACGAACGGAGGCCGAACTCTTTAACACCGGATGGTTTTCTTGCTCTGCCTTTGTGGCCGGATCACCTCTTCCAGTGCGTTTCTGCAGCCATTTTAGCATTCAGCGCATCGAGCAAAGCCTGCGAATTCTTTCCAAGCCGTAAAAGCCCCACATCTCCCTTCTTTCAGCTCTTCAAGAGTCGTTTCTTGTTTGCTCTTTCCTCCCCGGCTCTAAACTGGGTTTCATTTCCTCCTTCCTCCCCCACCCTTTTCACTTGTTGTTTTTATTTTATTTTTTTAGCTTGCTCCCCAAGAGTAAGAGTCAGGTCAGGAAGGCATCCGGATGCTTCTCCCGCTCTGGCAGGTTCCTGCTTCCCAAAGAAACAATTCTTTCATTGCTTTCGAAAAGGAGAAGAAGAAGAAGAAGAAGAAGAAGAAAGGGAGGGGGGGAACGGAAAAGGAGAAGGAGAAAAAAGAGGGGGGTTTTTTTTTCCGCTGGACGGGCAGTTCAGCAAGGCCGTTCCTCTTAACCAAATCTTCAGTCGAGCGAAAAGAAAACGTCGAAAAGAAGAGGGGGGGGTGGTAGAGAAAAACACCAGATGGGGGGTGAGCGGAGAGAATCTTTGCAGCTCGGGCAAAAGCGCGCAGTTTATCGGGAGTTTCAACTTTTTCCAGGAGAGGAGAAAGTGGGGAGCCAAGCCAAGGGGGAAACTGGTGGAGAATGGAAAGGGGGTGGGTGTGGGGGGGGGTCTTCCCCCAGCTGGGCCCCTCGCCCGACTGTTTGTGTGGATTTCAGTCACTGGAGGCTGGGTCAGCTCTCCGAAGAAACCCTGGCTTTCATTAAAGAAACGAGCTCAGTCACGCTGCCGCGTATCCTTGGCAGGCAGCCGCCTCTCTGCGGTCCCCCCCGCTCGCCTCCTTGGCAGGAGAGGTGGCTTCCTTCCCTTCCCTTCTTCCCTTCCCCATCCGAGGAGGGCTTGGAGGAACCCTCCTGCCCCGGTGGCTCTCCCCAAACCTGGAAAGCCACCTCAAGCTTTGGGCCCTTCTACCCGCCAGCCCTGGGAATGCCCCCGCGGGAGTCTCAGGCCTCGCAACCCCTGGGTTGCCCCACTTAGGATCCAGGGCGACCGGCCACAGGGCGGTTGCGCAACCCGGCGCGGATCCAGGCCAAGCACGTAGTCTTTCCCCCACCCCTCACCCCCACCCCCACCCCGGCTTCCCTATTCAAATGCTCGGGTGCTCGGATCCGAGAGCCGGGCGCTTCGTGAAAGGAGGGAGAGTTGGGTTGGAGAGTTGGGTTTGGGCCAAGGGCGCCTTGGATGGTGGGGGCACGTTGCCCGGCTCTCGGTTGAGCCTCCTTCCGGGGACAAACAGAAAAGGGGTGGGGGGAACCTTCTGCAGGCGCCCAGGGGGGCCAATATTGCGAGGCTCTGGAGTGGCAGGACTGTTTTGCAGGATAAGGCATCTCTCAAGTTGAACGAGTTCAGCGTAGAGACTGGGCTGAATCACACCGCCCAATTCTTTCTTGGAAAGCGGTAGGAAGCAGTTGACGTGTTTGGTTTTAAGCCTGTTTAGACAATCTGGGACATCCTTCTAGGGGGGTCTGACCATCTTCTCCTTCTTTCTCCTTCCGCCTCCCGCTCCCTGCAAACCCCCCTCCCTTCTAGTACTGATGATGTTCCCTAGTTGGGTAATGGAACGTCTGCAAGAAAACAGCCAAACTCAGAGACGATTAAGTACCCTAACACCATTCCTTCTTCTTCTTCTTCTTCCTCCTCCTCCTCCTCTTCCTCCTCCTCCTCCTCCTTCCTCCCTCCTCCTCCTCCTCCTCCTCCTCTTCTTCTTCTTCTTCTTCCTCCTCCTCCTCCTCTTCCCCCTTCCTCCTCCTCCTCCTTCTTCTTCTTCCTCTTCCTCTTCCTCCTCCTTCTTCCTCTTCTTCCTCCTCCTCTTCTTCCTCCTTTTCCTCCTCTTCCTCCTCCTTCCTCCTCCTCCTTCTCCTCCTCCTTCCTCTTCTTCCTCCCCCTTCCTCCTTTTCCTCCTCTTCCTCCTCCTTCCTCCTCTCCTTCCTCCTCCTCCTTCCTCTTCTTCCTCCCCCTTCCTCCTTCTCCCTCTCCCTCCTCGTCCTCGTCCTCCTCCTCCCCCTCCTGTTTATTTACCTACCCTCCTTCTCAGAAGGGAGATCCAGTGATTCCCATAGAGGAATAAACACCACAAAACTTTAACTTTCTCTCCTGACCTTTCCCCATAACTAATTAAAATAGGGAATTCTCGGGGGTTTTGTATCGTGCCTTGTTAAAGGGACTTCAGATTTATTAAATCTCCAGCAAAGGAAGGATAAATCAGCCACCCTTTGAAAAACATTTATCGGAGAGTCCAGGAAGCTGGCATTTCTCTTCGGTTTCCATTGTATCAGACTTGAAGCCAACCACTCTCTGTCTTTCAGGGTATCTGCTTAACTCATTTTAATGAATATTCAGTGCACAGAACCCACAATTGATCGAGCTCCAGTTTTGCCAATCTAAAATCACAGCGTGATTCCAGTGTCGCTGTAACATAAGCTTTCTTTATATCCGTTTCTGTAATTCTTCTTTTATTTTTTTTCCTCCCCAAAATGCATAAGCGATGGTCTCACTATGTAAAACTATACAAGCTGCAAAATTTGAAATAATCTTCCTGATCTCTCTGGTCTTTTGGGCCTGAAAAGATCCAATATATTAATATAAACCAATGGTTAGATGAGCATAGACATTGGTATTTGTACGTAGATCTTTTTAACATTTATATTTTATTGGGTTTTACTGATCTAGGTGAAATGGTGGTATAGATTGCTAGTCTGTGAGCAGAGCAGAGTAGAATAGAATATTGTCACTTTGAATGTACACTAGTCGGCATACGTTAAAATGAAATTTCATTGCTTACATGTATGATATGCCGTAACGCTAAATAAAGGAATACACATTTTCCAAGGATGATATTTCTACTCCTCTGGAATTCCTTCAAAGCCCAACAGGATGGTCAGTTCCAGCCCCAAAGTCAGTAAAACGAGGACCCAGATTATTGGGGGCCAGAGGCTGTAAAGCACTGTGAAGTGATATATAAGTCTAAGTGCTAAGTGGGGAGGAAGGAAGGAAGGAAGGAAGGAAGGAAGGAAGGAAGGAAGGAAGGAAGGAAGGAAGGAAGGAAGGAAGGAAGGGCTATGGTGGCACAGTGTTTAGAATGCAGCACTGCAGGCTGACTCTGCCCACTGCCAGGAGTTCAATCCTGACCAGCTCCAGGTGGACTCAGCCTTCCATCCTTCCGAGGTCGGTAAAATGAGGACCCAGATTGTTGGGGGCAAGAGGCTGACTCTAAACAGCTTAAAGAGGGCTGTAAAAGCACTTTAAAGTGGGATGTAAGTCCTAAGGGCTATTGCTATTCCCACAGCCTGTGTAACTCAGTGTCCTCCTCGCCCCAAGGTGCGTCTTCTCAGGCTTGAATGGATGGAAACCCACCATGGCCTCAAGAGTCACATTCAAGGTGAAGGATTCACTAAGCTCTGCTCAAATGTTCCTTCTCACAAGGATGGGTCGTGTGTATGTAATGGACCTGTGGGTCACGAGCTGTGGATTATGGTTGTTCTCTTGGTTCTTAGGTGAGTAAAGAAGAGGAAGAGGAGACAGAGGAAGAACTTTCTCCAGAAGAGAAGAGGATATTGGAACGAAAGCTGAAGAAGGAGCGGAAAAAAGCACAAAAGAAATTAACGGGAGAAGCAACACCCGGGGCCAAGAAGAACCAGCCTAAGAAGCCCTCAGGGTCAGAGTTGGCCCTGGACTATTTAACGACGTAAGTTTGGCCCTATTTGCGACGTTCCCTCCAGGGCGATGAGTAGAAATGTCACTGGGTTACAGCAATTGGCCACCTTCATGTGTTCAGCCCTGGATCACCATTTGTAATTAAATTCTAGTGGATCCTGTCTCTTGATTAAATGTCCATGGAGATTCTCCATCTTCCTGGTCAGTTGCCCCAAAAGGCAACTGGACTTTCTCGGATTTTTTTTTTTTCCTTGAAAAGTTCCACTTCTCATCCAAGAAGATTCGTCAGTTCTCTAGCAGAACTGAATAAGCTTCTAGGATGAGAAGTGAAACTTTTCAAAGCGAAAAAAAAATAAGAAAGTCTCTCGTTGCCTTTTGGGGGGAAAAAAGCACCTTTGGCACGATCCCAAAGGTGCTTTTTTCAAAAGGCAACTTTACTGGCTGAGGAACGCTGAGAGTTCATCAGTCCATAAGTCTTAAAGTTGCCACGGTTGGAGACCCCCCTGATCTGGATGGCTGAGAACCTCCATAGATGCTTAGAAGAGAGCTGAAGAAGCTTCTTGGATGAGAAGTGAAATGACTTCAAAGGAAAACCAGAAAGTGTAGCTGCCTCTTGAAAAAAAGCACTTTTGGAACAACCAATGGCCTGGACGGATGAGACTCTCCATAGACGGCTTTAGCAACGTTTCTTGGTTGTTCTGCCACATGATACGTTAAGGAGAACAAACGGATGGAAGAGAAAAATCAGTCTCAGCGCCCTCTTAAGTCCATGTAACTGGATCTGGTCTTTCTACTCCCTCTCGTTTTCATGGCTTCTACTTTCTTTATTTCTAACCTACCCCTTTTCCACCCTAACACTCAACAAATAAAGCTTCATTTTAGAGTCCACAAGACCAACACGTGATCCAGGACAGGTCAAGATCGCATGTTTACATCCGTGGAGCCAGCAAGCTTCACGTCTTACCCCGTTGGGGTTTAAGGTAGACTTACAGTGTAATGCCCCCAGTTTCCATAACTTCCTATCTCTAGCAGTTCCTAGAGCCAAAATACAACGTCTAGGAACGAGGACTTCAATCTACTCTTCCGTGTAGCTGGAGGAAATTAATTGCGTTCCCGCCTGAGAGGCGCATGATTCGGGCCGCCCAGAGGTTGGAGGGAAAGCAGAACACAAATTGTGCTCTTCAACACAATTTCGGGAGCAGCTGGAATCCTCTGCTTGTTTTGAAGGGATGTGCGGTTATCTGTCATGGGCTGATAGCTCTTCTGGAACGTCTGTTAGCGATTATCGCAAGGCGAGCTTTCTGGTTTGAAAAACAAACGCATAAATTCCGGGATCCCCTCGCCACCGGCGGAGTCTTCGCATTGAGCAGTCGGAGCAGACAAATATACAATATGTATGAACTGATGGGAGATTGACGTTCATTTTCTTTCACTTGATTTTTGCCTGCCCAGCAAACCAAGGCAAGGAGACTTAACAACCACGACGGGGAGCAACATTTTCACTGCTAAACGAGGCCGGTTCTTAACTGAGTTGCTTTTGTTCTTCTTGCTATGTAACCAGCCCCGTTTAACAGATAATCAGGGCTGGAAGGGACCGTGTAGGCCATCTAGTCCAACCCCCACACCCAAGCAGGAGACCCTGCACCATTCCTGATGGAGGGCAGTCCGGTCTCTTCTTGAAAGCTTCCAGGGATGAAGCTCCCACAACTTCCGAAGGCAACTTCTGTTCCATTGTTTGATGGTTCTCACTGTCAGAAACGTTCTCCTTATTTCCAGGTTGAATCTCTCCTTTATTTTATTTATTTTATGCATTTATTTGATTTGTCAGTCGGTTACAAAATAATAGGTATAAGTATAAACAGGAGTAAGAATACAGAAAATAGGTACGATTAAATGGGGACAATAGGACAGAGACAGGATTATTCCTTCCATTATTCCTTGTCTGGCCTTTGGGTGCCTTGGAGATTAGCTTGACCCCCTTCCTCCTCCTCTCTGGGGCAGCCCCTCAAATATTGGAAGGCTGCTCTCTTGTCTCCCCTGGTCCTTCTCTTCATTAGACTAGCCAGGCCTGGTTCCTGCAACCATTCATTGTATGTTTTAGCCTCCAGTCCCCTTATCATCCTGGTTGCTCTTCTACATGTGGGGTCTTCCTATCTTGCGTCTTTCCATGGCTCTTTGCGCCCCTCGTCGCTTTTGGATCGATTGTGAGGGTAGTGTCCATGTTTCGCCGGCACAGGTTAGAGGATATGACCAATACCTGTTTGAAAGTTTGAAGACCGGAAGCCCAGGCCGATGGTGGCAATGGCAGGAAGAAGCCTCACGACCGCTATTAAGCCAAGGAGGAAATGGAAGATACGCACTCCTGTTAAAAATAAACACCGAAAATGAAAGCCACACTGCCAACAAGAGCGTTTCAAACCCTGAATGAGTAAGTCAATGGTCCAGCACCTTCAAATCCATCAGATTGGCGCCAGATGTGTTTTTGTGGTGGAAAAGTGGAAATGGCCACGGTGGGATCGCTGGCTTCTGGTTTTGAAGATCTGTTCCGTTTCAGAAGAGATCTTAATCATCTGATAGCATAAGCAGGGTAGAAATTCCTTCTTGCCATCTTCTTCCGCTGGCTGTCTCCTCCCTGTGCAGTGCAATGCGGGGTTTGTTCGGGGGAGCTTCCAACGACGGCCTCTTTGCAAATTGTTTGAGTTACGACCTTGCCATTTTAGAGACTAAAAAGAAAAATGAAAGCAGGGAATGCGATCAAGCCATGGAGAAGGGGAAGCTATTTTCAACCCGATGTGGGAGTGGGGGGAGGGGGGGGGAGGCAGCTATTTATTGTAATTAAAGAGGAATTTGTTGCAAGGGAGGATTCAGATACCCTTCCAAAATGAGTCAAGATGACTTGAAAGAGCCGCTCGTTATATGGCAGCATCCGCTGGTGTTCATTAACGATGTGCTATCGAAGCGTAGGAGATGCCTTCAAAGAGGCTGGAAGACAGCAAGGAAAACTGGAATCCCGCATCCCGTTTTGGTCACCACATCGTAAAAAAAAGAAGTTGAGACTTTGGGAAAAGTGCCGAGAAGGGCAACTAAGAGGATCAAAGGCCTGGAGACTCAAAACATATGAAGAACAGTTGCAGGATTTGGGTTTGGCCAGTCTGGAGAAGAAAAGGAGGATTAGCGGGGACATGATAGCCGTCTTCCAGGATTTGAGGGGCTGCCCCAAAGAAGAGGATTGATGCTTTTGGTGATCTGGTTAAATTTTACCACATCATCTACAAAACTTTGATAGCCGTACCCTGCACTCTAAAGCCAAGTCTTAGAAGACCTAGTAGGCTCCGTTCTCATGTGGACCTACCTTCTTCTCGGTCTGAAACCAAGCTGGGTTTCCCCAATGTTCCCGTCCTCCTTGAAGGTCCTACTCAGAGGTCCACCTCGTCGGCATCTGTTGGGTAAAGGCAGGTTAACCCCAAGCAGAACCATCTCCTCCTAGGACGCAATTCTCCTGTTTAGTTGGTCGATCCGTTCCATTAGTGGACGAACAATGGGGACGAGGAGCTGCCCCAGACCAGCTGAGCTGATCATAAGATCCCAGGGAGATCTGCAAAGGTCACAGAGGGCGGCCATCCCCACCACAGAGTTGAAGTCTTGCCTGTTTTAGTAAAGGTCACAACGTTGTAGACGTTGTACTTATGGTTCTTGATGAATGTATCTATTCTTTTATGTACACTGAGAGCATTTACACCAAAGACAAATTCCTTCTGTATCTAATCACACTTGGTCAATAAAAGAATTCTGTTCTGTTCTATTCTATTCTATTCTTGTTCTATTCTATTCCACTTCTATCCTATCCTATCCTATCCTATCCTATCCTATCCTATCCTATCCTATTCTATTCTATTCTATTCTATTCTATTCTTTCTTATTCTATTCTATTCTATTCTTGTTCTATTCCTGCTCTATTCCACTTCTATCCTATCCTATCCTATCCTATCCTATCTTATTCTATTCTACTCTATTCTTTCTTATTCTATTTTATTCTTAATTATGTTTATGCAAGTTGTTGCAGTGATTCACTTAACCAATGTGGCAAGAAAAGGTCGTAAAACAGGACAAAATTCACTCAACGCATTTCTCAACTTAGCAACATAAAATTCTGGGCTCCGTTGTGGGTGTACGCCAAAGACTGCCTTCCCTGAATTTCCTCTTTCGGTGGCTTCAGAGGACGCCGACCGCGATAGTGTGGGAATGGGAGGGAGAACGTCTCTGTTGAAAGTATTTTTATTTTAATTCATTTTTCTCCACCCAGCATCCTGCTGTTTTGAATTATTGTTGTTTATTTACACGCTTGAGTCATGGAAATTTATTTCAATGTTATTCGACTATATTTATATATGAAGTCCTGTTTTTCAAACACGGCAAAGGGTTGGGATGGCAAGTCCAAAGGAGCCACATTGTGGAAGGTCTGGGCTTCGTTAGGTAAAACCGAGCACTTTCTCAGCAGGTATGTCCAAACAATTCGTGTCTGTCAAGATTTGAGAACCCCCATGGGGGGGCGGGGGGGG